GTATGTCCAGAAAAATGTGTGTATGATCCCATAAGGGGCTTAGAGAGGATGGAAAATACCTGCAATATAAATGCAGATTGCGTTTATTACAATGTTGGGTCATATTCTCATTCCCAGACTAATTTCCTATATCATAAAACCTATATTCAATTTTATAAATTGTATACACCAAGAATCATAAATTCAGTTAATGTAGAAACTTAACAGATTTTTAAAAAATAAAAGTGAGAAAAGACTGTTTTAGAGTAAGTATCAGAAAGGACAGAAAGGGTCCTTTCTTTAAAGATATGTTTTTCCCCTCTCTGTCGCAACCTCCTTGGGGGACATAACTAGAGAGAAATAAATTTCACAGTTAATATATATGAAGTAATATGTTTAACATTATCCAAAGAATTTGCATCTACCTACACCATATAAATTTATCTCACATAAACTGTCACCTCCAACAGAATTCATTAAAATAGCGTTAAAGCTTCTGAATTAAATGCAATCTTCTAATTGGAATTTAATCTTACAATACCAGTCAGTGGGTTTTCTTTCTTAATTGACAAACGGAGTAATTCATTCATGTGTCTCAGAGTTCTGTCTGAAGGATGTAACAGCACATTTGACACAGGGGTTGGCTGGCCACTGCTGTGAAGGACCGGGGTCTGTGAGAGACTGGAGAGGCGTTTGGCGCTCTTTTCTCTGCTTGTGGGCAGGGAAGGATGGACACAGTTCATGCTGAATGAATGTGTTACTAATATATTCCATTACCTCCACACAAATTTCATGTTAATTTCTGATCTTCATCAAGCCAGACAATGGCTTCTATCACTGGCCCCTAGCCAATTAGCTATGTGGAAAATATTCAGCCAATTACATTCCTTGAATTAGGTTAGGGACTGGAGAGAGGGGCAAAATAAACGCATCGAAAATACTTGGGAGATAAAATTTAAGTTGACACTGTCTCCGCATGCTGGAGTCCAAGTTATACAATCTGATAGGCAGCTGCCAGTGCTTATAAATGCTTATTAAATCTCACTTCTCTTTATGGCGTGAGAGAAGATCTGTATTTTTACCAATATTAGCTTCATTGTGTTATGAAAGAGACCAAAATACTTAAGATCATTCGCTCCAGCTTATAAAACATATTATATAGTTTATTAAATTGTTAAAATTACTTTTCAAAGTCAAAATTTCACAGACTGGAAGTTTAAAGCACCACCAAGTGGCTGGGCCCGATGACAAGCTGCAAACCAAGGTGGTCCAGATGGGCATGGGTTGGCCAGCACGCCTGTTCCAGGACCCTGGCCAGCTGTAGCCACCGTCTCCCTGAATCTGGATCTGGATGGCTGAGATTCTGTCCCTAAATCATTGATAGGAAAAGAAAACACCAAAACCAAAATCTTAAGCTGTACTTTTAAAAACAAAGAATTTTCAGCTGCAAAAAAGTAAGCTGGGTCTAAAATGAGGTATACATTTCCTAAATTTCTATTTCTCTGTATCAAAAGCTAGGAGGATGATTAGGAGAAAGACCAGAAAGGAAACTCTGAGACTGGAGAGATGGCTCAGTTTGTGAAGCACTTGTCATGCAAGCATGAGGACCCGAGTGCATGGCCCAGCATTCACATAAAAAAAGATGCACTAGGAAGTGGAAAGAAGCCGTTCCCTAAAGTTCAATGGTCAACCATGCTAGCCTTGGTGGTAAGTTCCAGGCAAGGGAAAGAGCCCTGTCTCAAAATACAAGGCAGTCAGTGCCTGAGGAGTAATACCTAAAAACGACCTCTGGCCTCCATACACCTCTCTCTCTCTCTCTCTCTCTCTCTCTCTCTCTCATCTCTCTCCTCCACCATGGAGTTACACACACACACACACACACACACACACACACACACACACGCAAGCACGCGTGCACACACCTGCGCCTGTATGCACACACAAATACACACAGAAACTGCAAAGAAAGGAAAACAACGCGAGTGGATCACATCCAACAGCATCACTTAATGCTTACGCCTTCGCACCGGGTTCACCTGCAAGGGACAGCGGCAGAGACAACAAGCAAGCCGGCACCTCTGTCATCCCTCGTCAATCTTCTCAGGAACACTATGCAAATCCAGACTGTTATTATCACATTTATTAATAACCATGGCTAGCTGCCTATTAAATATGCAACAGAGAGAGCCACTGTTCACTCTGTGCCTCAGACAGGTAACGACATCAACTAATGCTTCATGCTCACACCAGGCAAACGGCAGGCAACTAGAGGTCTGCCTAGTGAGCAAAGGAAGGACTTACAGAACCACAGCACAGCACCAACAGACTTGTCAGGCTAGCCTCTCCTTCCTTCCTTTCTTGCCCTAAGTTACTTCACTACACAGACATTGTACTGCCAACATCAATCTTCTGACCTTAAAATTTTTACCATGATGATCTATTTGTGTAAACCTTTTATCTCACAGTTTCATTCCCCTGTACCAAGGGAGGTGATGTGCTTTCTAACTGCCCACCCCTGTGGATTTGACCTGCTTTACCACGAGCACATGTTCCGCAGAAAGTTTCACACAAAATGAGAGTTGATTTCCAGCCTGAAGACTCCAAACTATTAGTTATCAAAATTAATCGGGGTTTCTTTTGGTTACTCAATAAGTTGTAATGTTCTACATGGCACAGGACTGTGAATGAATTGACAGCAAAAGGAGTAACTCGGTATCATGGGGAGGACAAGTCACTGCATCATAGAGGGAGAGAATGTGTCCTTCGGTGAATTTTAAAAGCAAGTCTCAAGGAAAAGTCAGGGGAAGATGAAAATACCAGATTGAGTGCCCTGGCTCACAGGACCTCTACTTCCTACTAAAATCTCAGCAAAGGGAAGTTTATTACAGTCTGATAAACACAGAGCATTTCCCTATTTATGAAAAATAACACTGCTATTCAGTTTAGCCTAACTGTGTTTTTTCAAAAGAGATTATTTTCATTACAGTTCTTCAGACTGATTTTTCCGATAGTGGGCCTCAACAACCGAAATGAACGAGTAAAATGGGCCCACTATTCAGTAAATCCATTCATGTGGTTTGGTTCAATTTCATACAACAATTTCATGATATTGAGACTGAGTCAGACTCTCAGTACTGAAATCAGAGATGACAGGTTACAGAGGCTGGGCTTGCTGTTATTTTAAGACCTTCAGAATTCCAACCACTTCTATGAACTCTTATGTGTACAGTAGACAGATTAATGCTCTGTTATCAACTCTAGGCTGGATCCCCAAAGGATAAAATTTCCTTAACATGCACCATATGCCTACCAATCAACAGACCATTCGCCAAAGTCTATCAGGGGGATGTAGACCTGGAAGGCCCTTGAACTCCACAGGTAAGGCCCTTGAACCCCAGGACTGGCTTGGGACCACTTTGCTTAAAAAGATCCAAGATCTTGCCCAGCCCTAACATCCCATGACCCATTTCTTCCCACTGTGGACATCCTTGTCTTCTGTGTTGTTATTATCTGCCTATTTCTTGCCAATTAAAGAAAACCTACTATGAGGACGATAAAAAGAATTGCTATTTTCTCCATCTCTAGGTGCTGCAGAATAGATTGAAAAGTACAACAAGTCAGATAAGAAAAGTGAATGCTGACAGGCTCTTGGAGAATTATGTGGTTTCTAATAGCAGGCCTAGTTGTTTTCCTAAAGTTCTTTTATAGATCTGTGAGATAGAGGTTTGTCAACATGATCTCTAGCTGCAAAGTACTACAAAGGCCTAAATGCCTAACAGTGTCTCCAAGAGTCACCCATTGCCAGAAGATGAGAGATGTCTCCTAAGACAAATGAACTGAACGACTGAGATGAACTGGACTGAATCATCAGTTGAGGACCAATATCTAAGACCATTCCTAACTATGTCCAGAGAGAGATCTCAATATCCCATTTGGACTTGGTGGACTTTGGCAGTGCTATTTGTACAGGAAAGGGATCAGAATAGACAACTTCCAGGACCTTATTAATATTGACACAATAGAATTCTATAGTCAGTCATCATGCATTGTCTGAAAGGTAGGAAATCCAAGAGGAGAGAGAAATTAATTTTATACTTGTCAGTTAACTATTAAGTCTCTTAATATGTATTCTTTCAGCTCTGCTATTCTCTCTGTTAATTGTGTCTTAAATGCAATTCTACTAAGATGAAGAAGAGATAAATCTGTGCCAAGGGCTTTTTACCACTAAATATCACTCAATACAATACCTGAAACTAAGTGGGTCCCATAAAAACTGACCCCATTCTAGGACAAAGCTACCACCAAATGATGTCAGAGTTTTCATCCAAAGCCCCTGGCCTCAAACAGTTACTGTATGTGATAAAGGCAAGCCATATTTATTCAGCACTACAGGGAAAGCCATTGATTTCTGAGGAACATGGTAGATAATATCAAATATGGAAACTACACATAACAGGAAAATAGCATGTCCCTTCTAACTTGCCCCTAAGAAAACCAATGATTAACTTGATGTGGCAAATAGGATGGGGGGAAAAGTCCCCAGAAGTTTTTGAGAAAACTGTTGAAAAACAAAAATGTACAACAAGCCTTTGGCTTTCTCAGGTGCTTCATCATGTGAAGGCTTAAGACTGGGACTCTCAACAAGCAAACAGAAACTCAAAATGCAGTAATGAGAGCTGTACTGCAAGATGGCTGATGCCATCCTAAATTACACCAGCACTCAAAAGAAATGACACAGTCCAGGCAATGGGGCAGGTTTTGGTAAATTTACATAGCCCACCATTTAGAATGTGATTCAAACAAAACAAAAGCAAGTAAGGAAAATTGTCCTGTGTTCTTTTTGCCTTTTATAAATCCCCAGATTGCTCTAAAAATTATCCTAAAAGGTTTCACAACGAAATCAATATTAGAGTGTATCCCTCCTCTCAAAATGTCACCTCCTCAGTGGACCACTGTCTTCATGGACTTTTTCTTTTTTTGTCTCGTGACTTTTCCGATGAATAGTCACCAACTTTCACTCACCCTTTCGGCTAGCAGGCATCACACCCATCTGTTCATGGCTGACAGCGAATCAGAGAAGGCAGTGCGGCCCTCACCATCGCTCAGAAGCTGGGATTGTCAGCAGAAGCTCCTGGAACTCTACAACACAAAAATATTTTTTACACATAACTAAGATGTAACTTGTAAAACCACTACTTCCTTGAACTCAAAAACAGCAAGAGGGCATCAACTAGAGGTGGGGAAACACCGTTCCAAAGAGGGTATGTCAGTATATCAAGTGTGAGGCTGCAGAAGGAACCGGAAGTAGTTTTTCAAAGACACACTTATCAATAACTCCCCAGCATACATGAAAAGGCCTTTACTTACTTACACTTTCTATCAATCCTTTAAAATATTGTTTACTATTTTTATTTTATGTGTATGAGTATTATGCCTGCATGAAGGTAAGTACATCTGTGTCGTGTAATGCCCACGGAGAACAGAAGAGGCTGTTGTATCCCCTAGAACTGGAGTTATGGACAGCTGTTAGCTGCCATGGGGGCACTGGGATTCAAACCCAGATCTTCTGCAAGAACAATCAGCATTCTCAACTGCTGAGCCATCTCCCCATCACCTATCAAATCCTTTAAATAGTTTCAAATCTATCATGTCCTATTAGAAAGGGCTCAGGTAATATTAATCCATGTTAACTCAAATCTTACACACATAAACACACCACTTCTCTTTAAATATTGGTCTTTACCAGAAGATGAAAAACATAAAGGTTAAAAATGTTAAAAATTAATGATTTTAAGTCATTTGAAATAATAATCACAAAGAAGAAAACTAGTGAAAGAAGGAACACCATGATTTTGTCCAAAATAATTCTACTTCATTCTTAAGATGGTTTTGAGTTCTGCAAGAACCATACTTAAATATTTCCACTGAGAAAGAAGACACTGGTAAACAGACGGGGCACAGAGCTGAGGAGCTTCAATTCTGACCTCAGTGCTGTCACTCAACAGGAGAGCCATTTAGCATCTTAGGAATCTAGTCCCATCATTTGCACAGTCCAGACATAACCAAATTCTCACCTAGTCCCTCTATTGTTCTGTCTTTTATTCATAAAGCAAACATTCTAAATAACATGAACTATTACCTTTTCCCTTAAGCTGCATGGTTAAACAGGTTATGCTATGAATCACTCTTATGCCCAACTGTCATCAACGCTAAAGATGGGTATGGGCAGAGTTTTTCAAATGTTCAGGACTTTAACTCTGGCATGAGCACCCAGTGCTGGTGAGCTGGCAGTCAGTGGCAGACCACATCCCCTGGGTGTCCACGGAAGGTTTCCAGTCCTCCCCAGAGCACAAAGCCAACTACTGCGGAGAAATCTGTCCCAATGCATTCCAAATCTCCTCAAACCATGGAAGTATCCATGGAGAGCTGTTCAAAATGCGTCCCAATATGCCAATTCAGTAGGTCTGAGATGGGCCTGAGACTTCGCATTTCTAGCAAACTACCAGCAGATGCTATGATGACAATCATGGATCACAGCAAAACCAAATGGCAAGTCCCATTCTCTAGCCACAACAAACATCACAGAGACCCATGAAAGCATCTCTCAGACTTTAGAGAGTTGCAGAATCTGTCATATAGGGAAAAGTAATGGGCTGGGATGTTTCCCATTCTCTGGGTAACATCCAAATATAGTCTAGAGGCTATATAGTCTGTTCACTCTCTATTTCCCTGGTAGGACCTCAAGCCACACACCCCTAATCCCTCTCTACAAACAATGCAGATCCAGGGGGCTTCCTCCCTCTGGAAGTGAGCCACAGACAGGTCTGGTGTCCTTGTTAGTCTAGCACTCTGGGACCCCACTGGTCTACTCCTTACACATCACTCCTTCACTCCTTCTCATCACTGGATATTAGGGGCATAAGCCATTGGAAAGCTTGTCCTGCACACCTACTTAAATTTACCCCCTTTCTCTTGATAGTATCATCCTATTCACTCTCTCAAGAGTTCTTGGCATAATCTCTAAACTTCTTCCTCATTTTTTCACCGGTCTTCCTCATGAGACTATCATGATAAAGGAACTCTGTTTTGTTCATCACTCCAAAACACAAGGAAAAGCCCTGCCTCATAGCAGGCATTCAATGCAAATCTTGAGTCAACAAATGACTTAAAAATTAAATTAACATCCCTTAAAATACAATTGCCATTTATTGAAAACTAGGTACAAGATACAGTCTGAAGGATTTTATAATACTTATTTCATTTTATAAAATTCACGTTACACAGTACCTAAGACAGAATACTGAGGCACAGAGGATCCCCCGAGTAACTCAGTTCTGTAAAGCTTACTCTTGCCTAAGAAGTCCACTTTCCTAGCCACCATATAAATGCAAATTTTCTGATCATATGTTAGACAGCCTTCTGACACAGGTTTCAGACACAGTCTGGCTTAGGTGAGGCTTGGCTGGGAGACCTAACAGAAGACAGGTCACCTTTCTGCAGAGAAGCCCCAGAAGCCTCTTTTCTTATACAGGAAGAGTGAGGGCATCCTACCATCACCAGGCACATGGGAACACACCCATGCCCATGGCTACAAAAAGGGGCACTAAGCCAGATTTCTATTCAGTGAAATTCCAGAAATTTCAAAGATGGTACCTAATATCCTAATAGTTTATATATATTTTTAAATGTCTACAACCCTTGAAACAATGATTGAAGTTACTCTCCATCTCTGTGATTCTAGAACATTTTGGAAGCCCAGAGCACTGGCACAAGTGAACACAGGAGGCTGCGGGAGGAAGCAGCAATAACCACCAAGGGCTCTGGGCAGTTGATTTCTTTCTAGAGGAACTGTCTTCAGCAAGGTTTGGGAGGAATTAGAAACTTGGGTGGAAGAAACATTCCACTAAGTCTGAATAGCTACTGAGAGGCCTAGGGCTGAGCAGTAAGTGAAGGCCAGCAAGAAGAGCCAGAGGAAGAGGGCAGGGGAGATGCCTTGGAGGAGTCTCAATTTTCTGAGGTACTGGAGCAGGTTTCCAGTCAAGCCACACACTGTCAAGCCACAGCCTGAGACCCTAATCAGCAGCTCTGTTGTGCCTGACTTAAAATACAGACGAGTAACTGGGACAACCCAAAAATAAAGGACCAAACACCACTGTGGTTTGTGGACTGGTTCTGTTTTGTTTTTGTGTGTCCTGTTGAGCATCTTGCAGACAGAGGAATTGTCTCCACACAGCTCTGTAACCAAGTAAAACACTTAAGTGTTTTGAGCTCCAGATGAAAAATACAGCCACTGAAATCAAGACAGTTATAAATAAATTATCCAGAACACAGCCCAGAGGCAAAAGCTGTCTACCTAGAATTGTATACCCAGAAAAACTATCTTTCAGAATGGAAGGTGAAAGGAGAGCTTTTGAGATAAAAAGGAGTTTATCACCTCCTTCGAAGGTGTCTGAAAGTCTAATCACAGGCCAAAGGAAATGATTCAGAGGATTTCAAAAAGTGGGGGAGAGCCAAAACGACCAGCAAAGCCTTAAAAAAATTTAAATACACACACACACACACACACACACACACACACACACATCTTATAACCCTAGATCTACTTCCTATTCCTAACTCATTTGTTCTTTATTCAGACTATAGTTACAGTTATATCAAGGCCAGGGCTACACATTCAAACTCAGCCACTACTTCAGATGGAGATTCTCACCTTCCACAGACTTTCGCCTTCAGGTTCCAGAGATCTGAGTGTCTACTAGACACCTAGCTGTACCAGACACTACAGCCCACTGCACTGCCCTCTGAGTACTGAACATCAAGGCACTGGGGGCTCAGTGTTGGGAAGTTCTGGCTGCAAACTCCAGAGTCTTTGTTCTCTTCCACTCCCTGACAGCCCCACAGAGGCCTTGGCCCAGGAGGTCAGCTGTAACCCTGCCTCCAACCTGCTAATCAAGAGCTGCAATAAATTAAAAGTCCATTAAAATATTTTAGAGAAAAGCCTCGAAGTGCTGAAACATTAACTGTACCACATTCAATCTGTTTTCCTAGAGATTTGAAAAGCCAGATTACCATCCTGGGGGTCATTAGAAAGAATGAAGCTTTCTCCCTTCTCCATTTACATATTTAAAAATGCATACATCCTGGCAGTGGTCACTAACTCCTTTCCAAGATTTTACAAGTCCTGTGGCTACTTCCAAATGCTACTGTCTAGCCACACAGGAAAAAAAAAAAAAAAAAAAAAAAAAAAAAATGGCTAGAATGCCACAGGGGCCTGCCTTGTTTTTTTGTGAAAGCAAAAGAACCAAAGCCCAGGGCCTGTGGTTACAAAACAACTCTGGGAAAAACAGGTAGAGCCAGCAACAAAACAACAGTGCTGTTTTCTTGTTTTGTTCTCCCCTGTTTATTTTTCCCTGAAGCAATCTCTGCTTGGTACAAAAGTCTGCAGGGAGCTGGGAAGAGCAGCTGTGGTTCCCTGGAGGCCAGGACCTAGCAATCAAGTTGTTTACCAAACACTGCCAGGCACCAGGAAAACAACAACAGCACAGGCAGAGTTTGCATCTGTTTTTCAAAAACAACCTCTCAAAGCCTGGATTGCCCTGGAACCGCCCTGCATGGTTTAAGCTGAGAGAAGTTGGAAATTAAAGGCCGCAACTACTCTGGGTACTTGCCCCATGCCCCTACCCCCGCCCCCAATGTCTACATGTAATCAGGATTCCATTTCTAATGAAGACCCTCTATCCTAAAGAGGATGGACTATGGGCCTGCAGAACTGCAAGCTGTGAATTCTTGCATGAGGCATTTCTAAGCATGCTACTGTTAAGAGTATCAATAAACCCCATAAACTGAACTGATTCAGACTATAAAAGATGTCTAGTCTATCTGTCGGAGGACCCACTTTTCCAGTCTCACTGGTCAATTACCTCATGATAGAACCACTCCCAGGAAGGCAGGTCACCTTAAGTTATGCTAAATAGATAGGGGAGGAATACCTGGTGTATTAATAAGGTAGTGAGTATTTCCTGCCTGGAACTAGCTCAGGACACCCCACCCCCACACCCACAGAACTACAGACCAGCCACAGCCATGCAGGTCTCCGTAAGTCTGTCCACTTTGCAGAACTCTTCAGGAAGGTGTAATTT